CCACAAGCTTCGACTCTTTAAGCTGGCTATGGGACTAATCCGGAGTGCGGGGGTCAGTGATGGCTAAAGGTTCAGCCCCCTCCCCAAGAATGCATTCAGCGGGAATCGAACACATGTCCAACCCCACTAACTCAGCGCCAAGGAACCAACTGAGCTGCACCCATTGAGTTGCTAACTCATTCTTTTGTAAGTTTTTACAAGTGGGAGATATTTGACTTTATTCATTTCAGACAGTTGTGTTAAGCTGTTTCTAGTTGATTGTCCAGTTTGGATATATATGTATTTAGGCTCAATTTTATCAAGGGATTCTATTTAGCATGTTGTTGGAGATAATTATCTCCTACTATAGATATATGATATGGTGGGACCCACCATTTATTAAAAAAAATGAAAAATGATGACACAATTTTTGATGTGAAACAACATGAAAGAGTTATCTCATGTAAAATGAGATAATAATTTCCCTTTTATCAATCATGAAAACCACAAGCAAGTGCTCTAAGCTTTCTTTACGCTTGTTGAAACTTAAGTATCTTTCGTTTTCAATTGAAATTTTCGTTTTCTTATTCGTTTTAATTTGATTTTCTTCTTACAAAATGCAAAACACAAAAAAGGAAACAAGTGAAGTGGGTAAGGCAGGCTCTGTTTGAAAGTGTTTTGGTTTTATTGTTTTGAAAACTATTTTATAAAATAGTTTTTTAGAGTTGATTTTCAGAGCTAGAAAAGTAAAAATTCTGTTTGGTAAATTAATTTTGAAAAGAGTTTTAAAAATTATAAAACAAAAAAACTTGTTTGCAATGAACGAGAGTGTCGAAACCTGATACATGAGAGTGGCTTATTATTATTTACAATTGTGTCATTAATGAGAACAATTGTTCTCCGCCTTTTCATTCTTTAAGAACGGAAACTCAAAGTCAAAACAAAAACAAAAACACCTCCGAGATGTTCTGTAATTTCAGTTTTAAAAATTAAAAAGCAGATACTGTTTTCAGAATTGGTTTCAGAAAACACCACCTATCAAACAAGTTTTTTTATACTTTTATTTTTAAAATTTAAAAACTATTTTTTAAAACAGTTATCAAACAGGTCCTTAATGTCTATTTGATTATATTTTGGTTTTTTGTCCTTAGAATTGTTTTGTAGAATAATTATGGAAATATGTGTTTTTTGTGTTTTTTTTTTGTTTTTAAAGTTAAACAAGAAACAAAAATAACTCAGATATATTTTCTAAATTTGTTTCTAAAAAAAAAACAGTTAGAATTTTTAATTTTTTTTACAAAACAAATCTTATTAAACGAATTTTTATTTATTTATTTATTTCTAAAAATCCAAAAACTACTTTTAAAAATGGTATTCAAACATGGCCTTAGCTTTTTTGGGCTTTGGGCTTTCAGGGGTTGGGGCTCATCTTTTTAGTGAAGTATAGGTCCATTTCTCAAACTCCCAATGTCTGCCATTGTTTAGCAGAAATTGGATCAATTGTATCTTCAGCATTAGTTTGCCACTAGGGCCTTGTTTCTAACATGAAATTGGAAATAAGTCTTATCTAATTGTTCCAATTTTGCAAATCAAAGTTTTGCAAATTAGGGCCTGTTTAGAGCACTTGATAAAAAAGATAGAATATGATAACTTATCATATTCTACTTTTATCTTTTGTTTGGTGGGTCAATAGGATATGATTAGCTTATCCTATTATCTCATTTTATCCTATCCAATACATGATTTCTTATCCTATGGGGGGAGCTGAGTTAGGATTCAACAGGATATGATACCAATATTGATACCTAATATATCCCCACGCTACCCAATATATTTATATTTATTGCATTATATTATATTTTTTCTTTCTCCTTTCTCCTTCTACATAATCTTATCAGGTGCTCATCAAACACAAGACATTATCAACCTCATATCATATCCTACCCTTATCATCCCCATATCATATCTGCCCTTATCCTATACTGTCCACCAAACGAGCCCTTAGTCTTATCTAATTGGTTCTAACATGAAAGTGTTGTTTTTGTGTCTTCATTGCAATATCCAATAAGAGGAGCCAAGCATTTATGGTGTACCCTAGAGACAATTTTTTCCTGTAGATCAAAGTTAAAATTCCTTCATCTTATGCGACTTGAAAATGTTGAGGATTAAATGCAATGAAATTGTTGATACCCTTGAGTTGAAGGATAGAGCATCTCCACTATTACTTGTGTTTCACCTATGCAACCATGGAAGACAATTCCAAATCCTCCTTTATCTACAACCCTCTCAAAGTTATTGGTAATACACTACTACTTAATACTTTCGAGTAGGTGAAATCTTGTTTGTTTGAGTTTACACACTCGATTTTGTTGGAACGACTCAACTTCTTTAAACTCATGACAACTTATAGATGAGAAACCATAGTACAATATGGTTAATACTTGTTTCACCTTTTGTTAGCACGAATGATAAAGTGTAAAGTAAAAAAGTTATTTAAAAGATTTCTATGTTTTATCCTAGTTCTTTCATATATTACTTTTTAGTAATTTTATTTTTAGAGATTAAAAAAAAAGCGCAACTTTCAAAAGCTATCCTTAACGGTGCACCTAGAAGTATTTAAGATGTGGAGGAGGATCCTTAGTCACAGGATTCTAAGTTGATTAATAATTATTTAGTGAAAATTGTTAATGAGGATTGACGTATTTGGTCAAACCTTCTGCTCATGTTAGCCGTGGCTTAGGTTTAATTCTTATATTTCTCTTTTTGGTATACAATACGTAATTCCACCATAAACTCTTACTGAGGTTGGTGGTCCTTTTCGGCCTTGTAACTTGTAAGAGACATGTTTTTTCCTAATATCTTGAAGATTCCTTTGAAGGGCGTTTCCTCTTTTCCATTGTGAAGAGCTACTATGATAAGACTTTCTCAAAGGAGGAATGGATAAGGGTTCATTCTCCGAAACCCTTAAAAGAGTGGGTACCACCCGTGATATTCCCTCATGCCACCACTTCCTCCTTCACTACTACTTTCTCCCCTCTACATCAATTAACCCAGACGAATTGGAAGACAACAAAGTCATAATCCCATAAAACAATACTAGAAAATAGAGAGTTCAACAAGGTGTAACTCCAAAAAATTCCAAAGATAGGAAAAACTCATAATCGAGATGTGAGGTTCCAAATAATAGCAAGAAAATAAATAAAGCGGAAAGCTTTACAAGAATGTCATATGAAATTCGATGATAAATGAAGGAAAAGTGAAGACTTGACAACAAAACTTGAAAATTTTCAATGAAAAGGAAATGGAAGCACTATCTTATGGGAAAAACGAAGAAAGGCTTGAAAGAGAATGAGAAGAAAGTCCCAAGACTAAGTGAAAGTAAAAAAGAGGAGAAGTTTTTCCCTCCACTATTAGACCCTTGAAACTAAAACATTTTTGGGGCAAAAGGGGAATACACTCTTTAATTCAAGAATTGAACTGTAAATTACAATGGTAGATCAATCCTTTCATTAGGGGACATAATGGCCTTTTTTAGACACAATAAATGTCAGACAAAAAAGGTATAATCGCCAAAAACTCTCCATTATGATAGCACAAAGTAAGATGCAGTTTCCCCAACCAAGAGCTGACACGTGGCCAAGTTTAGTCCCTAAAAACTATCAAAGGACAACTAAAAGAATAATGTGTACAACAATGCCTCCAACACGCGACCACTCAGCCATATATCCTCTAATAAGCCCAACAAGAAATCACAACACGATGTCGGTTGCCACCTAACATATGAGAAGTCTCCATGTTGATCTCCCAACAATACCAGTTAGTCAAGCAATTGGTCGACCATGTGTCCTAAATATTACCTGTTACACTAAGGCGACCGAATAAAGCTTCTACACGTCCTGGCGCTTCGGCAACCGAATAAAGCTTCTACACATCTTGCCACTTTGATTTCGCACGCTACTAAGATGTGTGGCTTTTGTTCTAGACTAACCTCACAGTTTCAATGTTTTAGGCCGAACGCTAAGGCCTATTATAGGGATAGAACTTATGCACCCCTAAAGTGAGATAAATGCTCCCTCATTACACTAGATTCCCCTCTCCCATGCATACACGCCTCACATATAAGGGTGTGTTGCCTCACTCAAAGTGGGGTTCTCAAGGGAAAAACAATCCTTATCTTATATGTGACCCCACCTATAAATTAGTAGCTCGAGCCTGGTGGAATACTACTCTAACACGCTTTTTTGCAAAAAAAAGCTCATAAGACTTGAATGGTGGACAATGCGTAAGCCCACAACCCACCTACCTTTATTAAAAAACTCTATGATATTTAATATAAAAAATCAATTCAACTAAAAAGTTTAAGTTGTTGTTTTATATTACATTCCTCTAACACCATCAATCAATTTTCCTTCATTCCTATATCGCATTTGATATCATGAACATGAGTGCAACCTCCTTAGAACATATTGCCTTAAGTTAGAAATGAGATCGTCCAACCATCATCTTCACAATTGCTAGACAAATGCGGAAACCCAACCAACATAATATTTTTACAAGGGATAAATTCTTTCATGTGCAGTCTCAGTCATTCAAATACAAAATAATAGTTGTTTTTTCTCACAATTTATTTTAATACATTTTATGATCACCGTTAATTTGTATCTAGATAACTCAAATTATCCTATATAACCAATCTCATATCAAATGAGATAATACGTTCTACAATATTAGGTAATTCAAGAACATATGTTCTAAGTCTTCTACATCATAATCACAAAATTAATTTTAAACGTTAGTCCAACCGACATGTTTGTTTCCTAAAACCCAAGATAACGTAAGATTATTGGAGATAACTTTATATTAGGAGAAACACTTTTTCCGTAAAACAAAACTGTAAAAGAATAAAAATAAAAATAAAAATACAACAATGCAAAAAAGACAACCGAAGAAAAGATAAAAAAACAACTCTAAATTGGGGAGAAAAGAAGTCGGACACACGACACACTCAAACACATCAGGCAAACGACGTTGCGTTTAAACTTTGGAAATACAGAAGAATGAGAATATGCGACGACTTGTTCTTCCACCATCGTGTTAGTGTTAGGGCTTACTGAGCTGCAGATTTACTTCAAATTATGCGTTTCATCGATCGATTTTTCATTATATCAAACGACGTCGGAGAATATCGCAATTCCTCTACCGTTTCCTTTCGTTGATCCGCGAAATCGAAAGATATTGGCGTGATCGCGCGACACGGTATCGCTCTAATTTCGTTTAGATTTCGGTTTTTAGGGTTTGGGAGGGGTATAACCATGATCTTTGATAATTTAGAAAAAAAAAAAGATTTTGAGTGTGTTCTTGGACACTCAATTAGCCAGTAAGTGATTTTGATTTGTTTTTTGGGGGTGAAGATCAGTGGCATAAGGAATGCTGTTTTTGTGTTAATGCTATTTATGTAGAGCTCACAATGGTAAATTAGTGTTTCACAGGTGCTTGTGTGTTTACTGAGGTAGAAAGAAGAAGACCAAATTTCTGAACAGCATGGTGAGTGTTGTTTTGTTGGGTGTTCATGTTTTGGTTCTGTGCCTGAGTTTTATTAATTCTAACTTTGACTCACTGGATTTGGTGATGGTTGTGCCCTCCACACTCATTTACCGTTTTGTGGAACCAAAAATATAGAATTACCTTCTTGGAGCTTTCAAGCCAGCATGTAATGTCTTAATCACATTTAACGATGGAAAAAACCGTAAACAGGTGAGCCACATTATTATTATTTCTTTTAATTTTAATTATGGGAAATAGTAGTATGTATTACATTCTGTAATGTTGCAAATTGGTTTTAAGTTTATCTTTGCAAGTGGCTTTATGCCGCATTATTTTAGTGATTTGTATATGCTCGTTTTGGTTGATATCCTCTTTGTGGGTTTTAGGTTCCGTTTAAAAAGGAGAATGGTCAAACAGTCACGGTCCCACTTTTCCATAGTCAAGAAAATATTGCTGGGAAGGTATTTTGTTTGTTAATGTTAATAACATTATATTATTGAATGTATGTTAAACACATGATGTTATTGTCGAATTAACTTTTGATATCTTGTATTGTGAACCTGGCCGCGTTGACTATTTTCCTGTTTGCTGCCATCTTTAGATCACAATAGAACCAATGCAAGGGAAGAAGATTGATCACAATGGCGTAAAAGTTGAGCTCCTTGGACAGATAGGTTTGTACTTGACTAATCTTTCTGACTCTTTAATGTGTTATGTGTCTCTAAAGTCCAAATAGAGAAAAACAAAAGGAATAAGAAGAATGATTTATTGTTTAAAACCTTTTTTGTCATGATACTGTGTGATGAACTGATTATGATAGCAAAGTTCTATTGTACTTTGTATCAATTTGGTGCACTTGTCAAAGGAATTTATCTTATCAATCATTATTCAAAGTGTATGATTCTTCGTTTCCTTAAAAGGAGTTTTTTTTCATTGTATATGTGTTTGGCCCTTTGTATCATGACATGTATTAAATCCTATTCATTTATGATTATAACTCTTAGGTGTGTCACACTATCACATTTGCATGCAATATAAATGTGATTTTCTCTGTGTAATTGACCTTCATAAGGGGTCTGGAATTGTATTAAAGTTCAGTCCTGCATTGATGATGTATGCTACTTTGAGCTTTTTATTCATCATTTTCTTTTTAAATTGTTATTTAGGCTTCATATTCTAACTTGATTCTCTATCTTTTATATAATTGTCAGACAAGATGGCCTGCTGGATTGTTGCTTTACTGCTTAATTTATTTGAAAAGGATAAGGCTTTAAATAATATACTTCTTTGTGATATGTCATTGAATTATTATATTTAAAGCTTTCGGTCCTAAAGCTGTAAAGTCAATCTTACAATTAATCATGAATTACATTTTATAGATAGCAGAAAGATGGATTACCCTAATTCAAGCCTTCCATTTCAGTTTTGTTGAACCAGTTTATAGAAAATGTTTTCTTTGGATTTGTACCCATCTTTTTTTTCTTGAGAATCTGTAGCTGAAACTGATATGATCTTCCTGACATTGATGATTTTGTCCTAGTCAAATTTGAGTACTTCAGTTTTAAGTTTACGATGGTGTAACTCTTAAATTTTTCTTTGGTAATGACCAGCAAAGGATATAAAATTTCCATTCATAACTTGTATTAGACATATGCAGCTGTTATTCCACTACTGCTTTGGGAATAATTTTTGGTTTGACTGTTATCATTTTTTATTTTATTACTCATACAAAGTTCATCTTAAATTTTGTTTTACTGTGCAGAGATGTATTTTGACAGAGGAAATTTTTATGACTTTACTTCCCTTGGTAACTAAGTATTCCATCACTTTTATTCTTGAATGAAATTATTCTACATAGTATTTAATACTACAATTAATTACTTATACCACTGGGAATTAATAGATTTTCATTTTCCTGTCTTTTGTAGTAAGAGAACTAGATGTACCTGGAGAAATCTACGAGAGGAAAACATACCCATTTGAATTTTCTACTGTCGAAATGCCATACGAGACATACAATGGGGTGAATGTGAGGCTTAGGTATGATATTCTTGAAGATCCATGAACTTCTCTGTTGAAGTGTTGTGCATGTGCTTTTTTGTTTATTGTCTTTCTGGAATATTTGCTTTGCCAATAATAGGATGGGAAGCTTGAATGATATTATCTGATGTTTATGTACATTTGTAATTTCCAGGTATGTCTTGAAAGTGACCATTAATCGTGGTTATGCAGGAAGCATAGTAGAATACCAGGATTTTGTGGTAGGTTCTTTATTGGTAAAATGGAGTTTGTGAGTTATGGTCTGAGATATCAAGTTGAATGTTATTTTATTGAATCACTGCATTTCATGGATAATATTGTGTTGGATGTAGATGGAAAGTATATAACATATTAGTACACTATCCCCACACCTCAAAAAAAGTTTGTATACATGTATATACGTTAGATACATTGATAAAGTTTTTGTGATCCTATTTCATCTACTTATATTCAATTTTAATTTTTATCACCATTCATCAGGTTCGCAACTATTCTCCACCTCCACAAATTAACAATAGCATCAAGGTGAGCTCAGTAACATGATAATCGAATTTTAATTCTGTCTGTCACAAATTCACTGCCATCATATTAGCTGTGATAGTGATTCATGCTCACTACTTTACATCAATCAAACAAAATAATCGCCCAAGAGCAGTAGTAAAGTGGTGTCATCAACCATTTCCTTTCAATTACTCATAAATAAAGTATCTGCAGGCTCATATAGTTATTGCCTTGTGCTTTACTTCGCAATTTTGTTATTGGCTCCTTTTATTTCTTCATTGTATTTAGCATAATATTATACTTTGTACAGATGGAAGTAGGAATTGAAGATTGTCTACACATCGAATTTGAATACAACAAAAGCAAGTAAGTTGAATATTTTGATTGACCATTTGACTGGAATTGCTTCTAATTTTTATGTCTTTTATCAGGTTATTTATCTTAACCCGGTACCAACCTGGAATTTCTGTTTACAACTTGGAATATGAATTTTTTTATTGCTTTATCTTGTTTAGTTGTATTGGCCTGTAAATTTATTATTTCAACTTATGTGTCACGTGTTGATTATAACCAAAAATCCTAGATAATTAGGCAGGTATCTGCACCAAAGATATTTTTGTCAAAAACTAATAATGTACAGGCCTTTTATGCTTGGGTTTGAAGGGAATATTTTTCTCATTTACTAATATATATTTTATAGGGGAAAAAAAATTACGAATACTGATTATGATTTTCAACTTTTCAGGTATCATCTGAAAGATGTCATCGTTGGTAAGATATACTTTTTACTTGTCAGAATCAAGATAAAAAACATGGATCTTGAGATTAGGCGTCGAGAATCAACAGGATCAGGGACCAACACCCATGTTGAGACAGAAACATTGGCTAAATTTGAGTTGATGGATGGTGCTCCTGTCAGAGGTAGGTTAACCTTGAAATTGGATGAGTAAAATATAGCTTTTATAGTTTCTATTTACATATTAATTTCAATAACATGCTAATAGTTTAGGGGACAGGAATCACAGGATCATTTGACACCGGTGTCAAACTAAAAAATTTGACACAATATCTTAACTGTTGATTTTCGTCAATCTAACGGTTATTATTTATTGGAAATTAATAATTAATCAATAAGTGTGACCCAATAAATTATAACCGTTAGATTCATAGAAATCAACGGTTCAGATTTGGTGTCAAAGGATCGTGCCCCATGCAGAAAATAAACCCAGAAAGCCTCAATTCCCCCTCAAACCAAATACCTAGGCTTAAGAGTTCCCTAGAGGTTTCCTAATTTCCTCACTAAACCAGTATTCAATTCATGCATAACAGAAACATCACCCTAAACTTCTATATATACTAATTCTAAGATAGTAATGGGCTTGGATTATTCATTATAGGCCCATCAATACTCCCCCTTCAAAATTCACTTTGTCCTCAAGGTGAAGAAAGAGAATGGGTAGTGTGAGAGGACATCCACCTGGATCCCATTGTTTAAAACATCTTGACCAATTTCTCTCATTGACTTGATGCAACACATCAGTAAATCTAGAAGGCTGTTTGAGCTGAACTTCCTCTTTAAGTAAGCAGCAACTAAGCTCTGCATAAACCCTCTCCAGGCCTTTACACCATGTCCAGCTCAGCCCATTATGAGATATTGATGGAATAATTCTGTGCTCAATTCTCAAAGCAGCATACATCATGCTTAGCCCTTCAGCTAGGTATATTTGACTCTGAAGAAACAAGACAACTACTGGGATCCGATAATCCATTCTCGTGTCCTTTAAAGAATCCCTATTTTTCTTTGCCTTCTTTTTAGCAGCGCTATTGCTCATTGTCATCCGGAGACATTTCTTCTCTGCGAACTTGATCAACACAACATAAATATACCAGTATACCATGCAATAATCATGGATAGAATAGAGCTCCAACTCAAATCCCAAAATGAGAAATCGAAAAGCTATCCAATAAGTTTGCTCTTCTACCCATGCGATAATCTGTTGGTATATTTTGAAACATATTCTGATTTGGTGAGTATGGAGCATCACACAGGTTGCGTCGTCGTCGTTTTGATCTTTCTTCCGGTGACGAGCGGTGAAATCGTACCCCTCTCCTTTCATTCTCGTTCGTCATCCCCTGCTGCTCGCCTAGGTCCCTCATCACCAGCCCCTATACATGAATTAAATTATTGGGCCTTGTTATGAAAGAGTTGGGCCCATTTCCTCTATTGTTGGACCCATCATTAGCAAGCCCTCGTTGAACTGAATAAGACCCATTTTGAGAGCCCAAACCCACCCCTCCATCATCACTTTTCTGGTTCACAGAAATATTGGGCCTATGGTTATTTGGGTTGAGGCCAACCTTGCTCTTTCCCCCTAGCCCAGATCGTGATTCAACCCTTTCTGACCAGCTCCAGCCTGTTCCACCTCCCCACCTCCTCAGCACCACTTCACGTTCCTCCACCATTTGCACCCACATCTTCCTTCTTCCCAAATTTGCCACTGCGCGCAAGCACATCTTTGCTTGAGTCCCCTCCCTTCGACCGTTCAAGAAAGTTGCTGCCACCACCTCGTCATCTGTGTGCCTCAACGGAGCAGATAACACCTCAAAGTTCTCCCTTACTTCCGCCTCACACTCCTCATCTCCGTCTTGATCTTCTTCGTCTTTTCTCATTTCTTCTTTTTCTTTGTTTGATTCTGCTTTCTCTTCTTCTTCTGCTGCTTTAACTTCATTTTTGTCGATCTGCTGCGTTCGTTCTGATCGTTCTTCTGCGTTTTTAGCTCTAGCGTCATCTTCTTCTGATTCTTGATCTGCTTCTTCTTCTGCATGTGCTTCTGCTTGTTTTTCTTTTTCCTTCTGTGTTTTATTTTTTTCCTTCTCTGATTGCTTCTTCGATTTGTTCTTTTTTTTCTGCTTCCTTTTCTTGATCTTCTTTTTCTTCTCCAATTCTTTTTTTTTGTTTCGTTTCTTTTTTTGTCAACTTTTGTTTCTTTGATTCTCGCTTGTTTTTTTCTTCTGCAAAACAAGGATCGATGCGCTCTATTAACGTCCAAATTGTTTTATGAAGTTGATGAAAAGCGTCTTCAACTCGATCCATTCCTTCTTCCACTCGATCCATGCTTGCTTCCAATCGATCCAAGCGTCTTTATTTTTGTATTTACGGATCTATAAAATAATATTCCGGTTTGTAAGAAGTAATGAATATTCGATCCATCACTAAAAATGCTCTTTAGATAATGTCTTTAACAGTTTGTTGAAATAAAGATTGGGGTCTCATAGTAGACATTCATAATCTCCTTTTCACTATTTTACAGGAAAGGTGCAAATGTACTTTACTTGTTTTGCATTCAATAAAAGACCTTCATTGAAAAATGAGAGAACACAATAGCAAGAAAAAGAAGAAGAATGATAATTACTAGTGAAACTTTAAATAGCTGGTCCCAATCCTTGATAAAAGTGGAAGGTCGTCTTAGGTAAGTGGTAGGTAACTAAAATTTTGTCAAGTCATATATGACATCATTGTCTTGACCATTTAACATCCATCACTCTAAAGCCCTAAAATCATAATTTGATGTAAATTGGAGAAGACCGTCAATTTAATATGAAAAAACCAAATAGCAATAAGAAAAAAAATAAAATAAGAAAGAATACGTAATACACTGCCTACATTCTCTTCCAATTATCAAAACCAAATTCTCGATGCAGAAGTTCTATACAACAGATGTTGATTTCACCTACGTAAAATACATTTCACCTTTTAATATATGTAAGAGTAGATCTCAACAATACATAATATCTATTGTTCATGGACAATGCATGAAATGAATTGCAATGAAAAGTACAGTCAACACTTTAAACTCATCAACATCTGAAGTAAAAACTACATTTTCATATCTGCCCATAAATACAATGGCTAATGCTTGATTGTTTTCACAGGTGAATCAATCCCCATCAGACTGTTCCTCAGTCCTTACGAGCTCACACCTACTCATCGTAACATTAATAACAAATTCAGTGTGAAGTACTTTTTAAATCTTGTGTTGGTTGATGAAGAGGACAGGCGATATTTCAAGCAGCAGGAAATCACAATGTATAGGCTGCAAGAAACTTCGTGATTAATTGTCATACAGGAATGAGTATTAGGTTTGTTAATGGGAATAAAGAAGATTGAGATAAGAGCTCTTACATCTGGGAATCGGTCACGCGAATTGTGTTTTCTAAGGGGTAAAATGGCCGGTATTCTAACATGCTTGAAATTCTACCCTGGCAACTATGTGTATTGTCTGATCTCTCGTTTGTGTCTTGATTCTATAATATTTAGGCATACCATTGAAGGAAGCATCTCTTATATGTGCTGGATTATTGATATCCATGAGAATGTGGTGATTGAATATATAACTTGAATATTAGGGTTGATATCTTTAATACTCTGGTTTTTTGTTATCAGCATTGCTTTACCTCCTGAACATAATTATGTACCTTTTCAATTATTTTGAACTGAAAGAATCAGATGTTGGACTCAGGTTTGTTTGTTTACGCATTGGCATCTTGCGTTTTCTTTTTTTCATATTGGATTCATATCAGTGACTGTAACATTTTGATACGCCATTGTTCCCATTAAAGTGACTGGAATTTTGGATGACCTAAGTTGATTAAGGTTAATATTAGGGACACATGATTTTTTGCTAATGTTCACTGAACTAGAAATTCATTTGGTGTACACAGAAACAATAATTCTGAATCAATGAATCATGATCTTTAACATAAATTTCAGTTTCTCTAAGTTGGATCAATTCTGAGAAGAGGTTGAGTTTTCTTATATAACTGATTTATGTACATACTATTGAATTGGATTATAATTGCTTATTAACCAATGTTCTGATGAAAGCTAAAAATAGTGGGGAAATTACGAACGGTAAAAATCATGGTACCAAAATGATCAAATACAAATCTAAATATGTGCTTGTATAGGAAGGAGAAACTCCTGTTCATACTTTTTGGCTCAGAATTTGCTTGCGAGTTGAATTTTAATTTTAAGAAAAGTGCTGGCTTCATTTAAGAGCTGACAGAATTTGACACCTTTCTACATGGGCGACAAAACTTCCCTGCATGTTACACATTTTGGTTGAGGTTACAAGTTCAAATTGTAGAAAATCAAAATATATTAAAACATTTCTTTATGGGTTAGAATCATTTTACACTCGTGTAAGTTATATTCTCAATCTTAATTGTTGTTCCTATTTACATTTAACAGTTATGATTTATTAAATATTTAAGGTGTTAGATACATGTAAATCAATTATTAATATTTGATGTAAGACTTCTTATTCTTACACGTGAATGTAGATAAATTATCTATATTCATTTTCAAAATGATGTCATTTTCGGTTAAAAGATAAAAAAAATTATAATAATAAAGACTATTATAACCTTTGAATAAAATATAATTACAAAAATACCTTGATTCCTGTCTCACAATAATGTTTTTTTAGACTCAATGTAAATTATTTATCTATATTCATTGCAGAAAAAAATGAACACATATATTATTCAATGAAATGTTTGTTTATATCTCATGATTGGATTTTTTTTGAAGTGGTGCACTTTTGTGCATTTATATAAAAAAAATTCTACAAGATTATAGAAACTACGTATAAATACATCAGACTATTGATATATATTGAAAAATGTATCAAAACCTTAATTGTGCTTACAAAAGTTTTCAACTGAGAAGACTTGATCTTATTATCACTAAACATTGGACTTTATAATTTCAAAATATTTAAATTAGAATGTTATTGTGCAGTTTGGACCTATGATCAGTTTGATCACCAAAAAATATTTAAGAAAAGCCGAATGCTAATTTAATATTCTGCTGTGTCCAAATTGAGTGTGTATGAAGATTCTGTCTTGTTTATTCACTGTATAGTCTTAAGAGGAAGAGGTTCATATTTTCCCTTTTGTCAATTTACAAATGAGGTGTCTCATTGCTTTGCTGCAAGCCCGCAACCATTATCTATATCATGAAATGGATACATTACATTAATACACATGAATATTCTTAATATATATCTATGTGAAGATGGAAGAAAAAGATGCAAAGCATATAAACTGCTTTGTTTGTGATCATAGTATAGTTGCTTGGTGCAATTTACAAGACACCAGAAGAAAAACTAGTGCATTACATCAAACAGAAATTGAAACACACCACTGTTTACAGAAATATTGTTGTTAGCATCAAGAAGGTACTACCTAGCTAGGGGAACAAGTTCAGAAGTCACAGTGACCAACTCAATTGAATCTTTGTTTTCAGTGTCACGACCAGTATTTTTTCGAGCTGATTCTGTGGCCAAACACTCCTTTAGCTCGGTCACTACATCACTCATGTTTGGCCTTTTAGCAGGATTAGTGGACACACAAGCAATTCCTGTTTCAACCGCTTTCCAGGCAGAGCTAGTGTCAAAATCTTCTTGTAATCTTGAGTCAACAATATGTTTTATATCTCCTTTAGAAACCATGGAGCTAACCCACAGACTTATGTGAGTCTTCTCATTCTCATTCATATTTATTATAGCTGGTTCACTTGTGATTATCTCCAACAGAACAACTCCAAAGCTGTAAACATCACTTTTTTCTGTCAACCTGTTTGATATGCCATACCTTCATCAAGGAAGATTATACAGTTTAGTTCCAACAAAGTGATGCATAACCCTATATTATAATTTGAAGCACTTACTCAGGATCCAGATAACCAGGAGTTCCAGCAACAACAGTGGACAAATGTGTGCCCCCATCAGTGGGAAAGCTTTTGGATAGTCCAAAATCAGCCAATTTTGCTTGGAAATTTTCATTTAATAAAATGTTTGTACTTTTCACATCTCTGTGGATTATAGGTGGTGTGCAACCGTTATGTAAATATTCCAGTCCTGGTATCAAATTCTTAACATTAATAGATGGGAAGAATCAAAAGATTGAAGGAGAAATTTACATATTTAGTTTCCTTTCTAACCTTGGGCTGCATCCACTGCTATTCTGAGTCTGTCTTCCCATGTCAAGAACTTTGGCATGCTATTTTTTCCTGTATAATCAAGAAACCATGTGACCGAAACTCACTTTGGGAAAGGAAGTTAAACAAGACTTAATAGTGTGGGATATAAATTGGCGGACAGTGTGTTTTAGGACAGAATGGAGAAAAACTATTTGTAGGGTGGAGGGTTAGTTAGATCCGTTGATATTCCTATGTTTCGTATGGTCCTTTTTTAGTCTTTTTCCTCTTCATTCCCCCCTCCTTCTTTTCCCCTTTCCCATATATATCTTCTTCTTTTTTATTTTATTTTTTTAACTACTCGTATCTATCTTTGAGTTCATCTACCACCGACTCCAATTAACTTAGGTTAAAGGTGCTATTGATGCTGATGTTGATAATCAAATCAACATTTAGTTCTTTTTAAGGCTTTTGGGGTGAGTTGATTGAATCTAATTGAAAATAATAAATAATGATAACAGTAAGGTTGTGAACATACATACCTGAAAGAAGTTCATACAGGTCTCCATTTGGCATATATTCGTAGATGAGCCCTATATTGGTTTCTTCATTGCAATACCCAATAAGGGAAGTCAGATTTCTATGATGAACTCTCATCAGAAGTTTAACCTGCAATTCAAAGGCCACTTTCATGCCAGGACAAACACAATTTTGGTTGAGCTAAGACAGAAACTTTTGTGCAAGTAATGGCCACGTGCCTCGGATACAAATTGTTGATATCCTCGTACTGCTGATGGGGAAAGGATCTTGACAGCTACTTCAGTGTCATCAATAAAGCCATGATAAACTGTTCCAAATCCACCTCTACCAAGAACTCTTTCAAAGTTGTTGGTGAACTTAACAAGATCATTGAATGTATATTGTCTTTGCTTGGATTCCAATTGTGTTCCATTTGGAGTATTAGGCTCTACATGAATATTCACAGCAGCTAATTTGGTTAAAAAGATTTTAGTTGTCTAAAAATTATAATGAAATGAGAATGTATTTATTTAACCAAAAGAGATTGTAAATGGTAGTTAGCAACATCTTTACCTCGTGGTTTTCTCTTTTTAAGGCTACAAATGACAGCTGCTGCTGCAATTACAAGAAGCACCAAAATCCCAGCTACTGCTGCTACTACAGGAATAACTATGCTATTTTTGTCTGTCTGTGGATTGCATGAAGCTGAGTCACATAGATTTGGATTTTTCCCCACGCTAGCATCATTCAGACAAGCATAAAGTCAGAGCAATTATTGCATTTTAACATCACATTTTCTTTTCCAGCTATTAATACCTTTTGCTGATAATTCTTGTTTTCAAGTGTCTAAAAGAATAATTTTGGAAAGAAAAGAAACAGTGAAGAAAATTGCATTATTCCTAATGTGAATTTGAGTTCCATGCTGCATGCATATAAGTAGATAATGAAAAAAATTAACACTATAATTAACAGTTGTCGCTATATATAATGGTATGATAAAGAAATTAAGTTACAATCATCTTGAATATTAAATGCATTGTGGATTCACAGCTTTTTGATGAGGCATACCTCAATGACAGTGAACCTTTATTTGATCTGTCAAGGAGTTCACTGGGAACAAAACCTGTAAGGTTGTTATTCTCCAAGTTTCTGCAAAAAAAGGGACAAATATGACACCCTCTTCTCTTTTTGAACCAAGGAAATTACATTGACGCAGCGATATGGGGTAAACTTACAAGACTTTTAGTGACTGCAGTTGTGTCAGAAAATCAGGCACTGGCCCGCTTAAGCTATTGTTTGATAAATTCCTGAAAGGAGCAATTCAAATGCAGTATTACAATTCTGATTCTCCAAGAGTAGGAAATAAAACAATTGAATGGATATGGTTCCATCATTTATTAAGCTAATGTGATGATGAGGAACTCACAAGTACTGTAACATGGTGAGCTTGGAAATGGAAGATGCTATCTGCCCGGTCAGTCCACTTGAAGACAAATTCCTGGTTGCATTCCCAAATATATTATCAGTTTATGGTTGGAGTTTATGAATTTATTCATTATTTATTTTATGAATGTTAAGCTTACAAGGATGTGATTCTTGGGGGGTTATCTCCATCAAAACTACAGTTTAGACCTTCCCACAGGTACCCTACAGGAGAGCATGGATCTCCTTGCCAATTTCTAGCCACCCCATAAGAGTTCTTGATGTTTGTGATAGCATCAACTAGTATTTGATATTCAAAAATAGTTCGAAAAGAATTTCAAGCCAATATGTACATAGTTTAAACCACAAATGACACTAACAAGCAGCATGCGTTCGGATAAAGAGATTACCATCATCTTGTTCAGTTTCTGATTGTGAGAAATCTTTTACTGTATAAATCTCAAGGGCATTGATGATGGGTGGAAGAGTAGAAGTCTCTGTCTGAAAAAGAGAAAATTGATACCTTGTGGCTCTAGTCAAAGCTGACCTACTAAATATGGTATTTGTGCTCCGGTATGCAGGTACCATAGGTCCATAAAAAAGCTTGCCATTCATGGTGATATTGAATGCTCTAGTTTCATTTGCTGCCAGCTTTTCAACCTCATTAAAGTGCATGTAGATGTAGTATTGGTCATTTACATTATTCGGATCCCAAGAGAAGTTAAGAGGAGCACTGGCATTATCTGGAGTAATGGCAGTGCTCATGACAACTGCTGGTGGTTTATACTCATTCAGAGATAGTTCATCAGGGCTCAGAGCGGTGCTTAATGGTGTAGACTCTGAGAGTGTAAAAGGTGACCAGATGCGGTCATAAACATCATCTTTGTACCTGCATACCACAACTTTCTTTTATCAGCGTTTGATATATTTAGATGAATACACGTGAATGGTTTTATATTATATCTCTAACACGTCTCTTCATGTAAGAGCTCTTTAAACTTGAAACGTGGACAATATACAAATTAGGATGAAAACAATAAGGATCGAACTTTAGACCACTTGGTTAAAGAAGCTCTAATACCATGTCAGGAACCAACTCCCTCAAATACTTAAAGCTGCTAGTTTTATATGAAGTTGGCACATAATGTAAATGAGCTAGTCTGACACAATACAATGGACTCACCTGGATTCCAAGTTGGTGATGGAACCTAAATTCAATCTTAGGAAGCGTTCCAATGATGCAGATGAGTTAGTGTCATAAGTATCATTTTTCAAAGTCCTCAATTCTATAGCTGAAATGAATGGTGTCCCATTGCCTGTGTTAGCCAGACACACATGAATATAATCTAGTGGCGGAGAGTAAATGATCTCCCTGCTATAGTAGAGTGATGCATTGGGGAATGTCACTGTGTTCCAAAAATTAGCTCCTAGATGAAGACTAAATTGTGGGACCTGATTCTTCCCATCATAGTTTCCATAATAGAAAGTGACTCGGATTAAATATTTAGTACCACTGGTTACATTTATTCTGTAACAGTTTCTCACCCCACTGGGAAAGCTCCTCACATAATCTAGCTGCCGATAAAGAGTACCCTGCAATGCTAGTGATACTCTCTTACTTACACCACTATCAATGAATTTAGCATCTGAAATGTAATTTATGCCTGTGTTCTTCGAAGTATAGCTTGAATCTTCAGGTAGCCCGCAATCTATGCTAATGAATCCTGAGAGATAGAAGCAAAGAAAACATCAGCTATATTCTTTTTGAATACATAATTATGTAACTTCAAGCAACTCTTCAAAGCTATGATAACCAAACCTGATTGATCCTGAGCTTGAACCAGAACCACAATAGCAAGGACCCCAAGCAATACAAAAAGAAAATGCAGTAACATTCCCATCATTTTTTGCTGTATCATATGGTGACAAGTGTAGGTGCATAATTATTTATACTGCTAAAGTTGCATTAAAAATAATATAACCTATATTTGTCATGCTTTCATATACTTGATGGAATGCTTAAATAGTGACGTGGTAGACTCGGCAGAGCATAAGATTTTTAGAGGTTTATGTCAAGGCATTACGCGGTGGTGTACTATACAGAACACAGTTGGTCAGTCAAAGTAAACGGCGTGATTTGGGTGATGGAGTACTACCATTACCATATGATTTTCAAAGAACTAGCTTGTATTGTTAATTAACATTGTAATTATCGATTTCGTTATTAGTGGATACCGTTGAAACACATTGACTGAGGAGGCAATCAAATTAGTACGCAAAATGAAACTGTAACATCCCACGAGAGGAAGTTATATGAATGAATCGAATTGATATCTGAAAAAAAAAACAAAGAGATTGCAAAGATTATACAAATAAGGTGCATCTAATTTTCGGTAACCCGAAACAGAAAAAACTGTGCATCTAATTTTTGGTAGCCCGAAATAGAAAAAACTGAAAATTTCCCAGAAAATATGTGAGTAATGAAAAAACACGGTCAAACGTTACAGAACCACAATTGAGGCCAACTTGGTCTTTCAGTTTTAAACAACGACAATATTGTTATGTTTATGTCTGTTTGTTGCCTAGAAAATATAAGATTTTATTTGCACATATAGGACAAATACTGCAATACCGTGTTTTTTTTTTTTCCAACTTCTTTCTTTTTCGGAATTTTGTATTTCATATTTTCTTCCAAATATATGACAAATATTAACGACTTCAATGTTGTTCTTTTGCATAAGTCTTTCGGCTTTGCATGTAAAATTATAGAAAGTGAAGAAAACAAGCGTGGAATGGTTGAATATGTCCTAAACGTGAGATGCGCGTCCATGGGTTTAAATTCTTCGTCACTGCAAATTTGGTCGTGTTTTAAAATTAAAGTAGCCCTAATTAATTTTTAGTTAAATTTTAATGACTCCTTTTAAATTTATTTTGTGTGTAATTATTGTTATGATCTTTATTTTTTATTTTTTTTTCAGGGGGAGGGGGGTAAAAATATATTATGTGTAATTTGCTTCCAAATTCTGATACTGCAATTTATATATCTTCACATTTAACTCTATAAAACTATAAATCAAGACTTACCATTAAAATTGACAAAAATCTTTAAGTTCCGTTAACTTTTCAATTCAATCTTGCAAACTATAGGTTTTTTCTTAAATCGATTTTCATATTTTTTGTGATGAGATTAAATATTTACTAATTGAAAACTTAAGAAACAAATGTGATTATAGATGAAGATTATTTTTAATCTTTTTGTTCATACTTGAAGAAATGTGCATGTGTACAACTGTGAGTAAGAGTGTTAACGAGCCGAGTCGAGCCTAGCTTTGGTCTTAAAAGGCTAAGTCTGTGTTTAAATGTGTAACACCCCGTTCTAGAACCGGTTTGTTAACATCGCATTATGATATTAAGCGCAGTTACAATCACGTTGGCTCAATTAAAATCCAGATAAGTTTTTCTTTTTAAAACGACGCCAAATTTAAAATAGCCAATTGCGTGATCATAACCATATTACCTTGCGGAATCAGATAAATTAAGCTTAACATCATGTTCTTATTCCATTTATAAACCATTAATTTACTTCCTATTTATTTCACAATTTCTACTATATTTTAGATCTCTTCGTTAGCTACGCGTGGGTTCAAACCGCGCTCAAATCGGAGCACCGTAGCCCAAGTTATGGGTTTTCTACGAAACGAGCACGTGAATCCTGCTGATCCCGGCGCGACCGGCGCCAGCTGTGGCGCGGCGGGCGCCAACGAAACAGAAGCTCTCGATCCATATGGCGCTGGAGGCGCCAAGGTTGGAGCCAGGTGCGCCAGCTGGTGATCCCGGCGCGATTTGCGCTACGAAACAGAAGCTCCCAAGCACTATGGCGCGCGGTGCGCCAAGTTTGGCGCCAGGTGCGCCAAAGCTCTGAAGGTTTCACCAATTCTTAGTATTTTACCTCTAACTAGAGTTGTACTTGTCCAATTCACACAATATTGGTCTCTATGGAAAGCTAAGAAAAATATCTACAACTTCCATACATACACCACGGTCCAAATCTATCATATAAATTCCTCTCCATAATTGGTTCTTAGTTCTTGCATAATACAAACACATCTAAAGAGGCATACATGCCCTTTTCCTCGTGGCTTGTACTAAAATTTGGGTAGCATAATCCTTGTTTTCTCAACAATTCCGAATTTAGAACTAGGTACCTAATATGATTTCTCAGCCCAACCAATTCAATAACTCAATACATAATAGCATGCATATATTGAATTTCAAGTATGCATCATTTACAGTACATATTCATTACAAATCATGGAACTTAGCTTACAAAACACTATGATCATTCCATTGGCTCCCATCAACAAAAGAGATAGCCAAAGGCATGAGCATAGGCTAAGTCCATTCCAATATACAAATCATAAATCTATCATTTCCTATTAATTACAATTCTATACATGTGAGCTACAAAACAACATGTATAATCTCAAAATTGCAACACTTCATGCATATGCTAATCCAGATATGGCCACTTGCCACTGGTGGCTCCTACAGCATCCTTATCTGAAAGGGGTCCCCACAACACGGGGTGAGATATACGAATATATCCAGTAAACCAGGGGTCCTTGGAGCATCTCTCCACCCCATTGATGCATGTGCCTCATAAGGCTTCTTGGTCTTAGTCACATTATACACTTCTTCTACTTTCCGGAATTGGTTCACAAACCTGCTAAACTCACGGATGTCGCAATTAGACATCTTCCGAGATATTTTCTCATTCAGACCCCATTGAAACTTAGAGGTCATCTCGGCCGGAGTAGGTAAAGCTCTCCCATAGTTAGCATATTTCACCAATTCATTGAACTTGGCAAAATATTGGTCAATGGTCATCGTCCCCTACTTCAAATCATTATACTCATTCTGCTTCTTTTCCTTAGCCTCCCTAGGAAAGTAGTTATCCAAAAACAAAGTCTCAAATAACCGCCAAGTGATCTCCTGGCCTTCAGCCTCTAATGGTTGCACAGTGTTCGTCCACCAATCCTCGGCTTCGCCTTCAAGCATGTACACCGAGTAAACCAACTTCAGCGGATCGGGGTATCTCATCACCCTGAAGATCTTCTCCATAGCTTGGAGTCATTTTGCCGCCACCAACGGGTCATAGCCTCCATCAAAAGAAGGAGGTTTATGTTTTCTGAAAGTCGTCAATCGCCTTTCTTCGGCTTCGGGTTCATCGACGTGCTCTACATGTGGTTGACGAACCCCAATGTGATGACTATGACTACCATAATGGTGACTAGCCTCACCATCATGGTTACCCGCTCCACCCTCTTCATGGAGAATAGGTGGAGTAGGCGTGGCAGTATGAGGAGGAGGAGTGGGTTGTCGGTTCTTAGGTCTAGCACCCCTCAGGGTCCTCAACTCATTCATCATCGCGGTCATAGCAGTCCGTGCATCTTCATTAGTCTTCATCAATGTTTCATTAGCCTAACGACTATCAGCCAACTCCCTTTGCATGGCCGCCAAAGTTTCAGCCATGGGATAAGACTGTCCACCTGTTGCCCCACGACCACTTCGGGGCCGAACTAAAGCAGCCAAAACAGGATCTGGCTATGCATTGGCATTCGATGGTCCAGGTTATTCTGGTTCCTTGTCATGACACTACACATGTTACACAAAGAAATGAGTCGATCAGGCTAACACTCAGTGATCACAAATACAATAATCATAAAGAGTACCAAAATAACTATAAAGCATTAAACACCAAGCAGATATAACAATAATCCACAAGTTTCCCTAAGAAATTGCTCTGATACCATTAAATGTAACATCCCGTTCTAGAGTCGGTTTGTTAACATCACGTATGGCATTAGGCGCAGTTACAATCACAACAATTGAATTAAAGTACGGATAAACTTTTTCCTTTTTCCGTTAGTGAACGTTTATATTTAAAATCAAATCCGTAATTAAAAAAATTCCAATAGTTGTAATCATAACTTAAACTATGTGTGGAACACCTAACGTAATTTTATTTAAACTATATGTTGCTACCCTAGTGTGCCAAGTAGTCCCCTTAGACCAACAAGGCTTATAAACTCATTTGTATTGTTATTAAACACTAAACATATCCACTCTTTATTTATTTAAGAAATTACTATACTACTTTTATGGTCCCCATCTTCTAATATGTTATAGAATTCTTCGTTAGCTACGCGTGGGTTCAAACCGTGCTCAAATCGGAGCACCGTAGCTCAAGTTAGGAATTTTTGAAGAAAAACTGTTGAATTTCACACGGGTCCAGCGCTGAGAGCGCCAATCCCGCACTGTGAGCGTCAACCTTGCTGCCAGTTTCACACCTACGGTGCCGATAGCGCCAACTTGGCGCTCAGAGCGCCACAGTTCTGGAGATTTCACCATACTTTGATATTTTACCCATAACTTGAGCTATACTTATCCGATTGACACAATTTTGGTCTCGTTGGAAAGCTAAGAAAAAGATCTATAACTTCCATTAAGACACAAGGGGACAAATCTATCATGTAGGATATGAAAAATGGACAACAAGACATGATTTCCTTATTTTTTTTCATTAATACTCAAGCTATAGGCCTTCTTCCACCTAATTGACACTTTATAACCATTATAAGACATCATCCTTACACTTCTAAGACATACATTTATCAAATTGGTATCCATGCCCTTCAATCATATATACTATAATACCCTAAATTTAAGCATTTAATTGATTAATTTTAATTAAATAATTAAGCATGTTTTAGTGAGTAAAATTAAGTATAGGGCTTAATTAAATGAATTTGAGTCACTTTGGAGTTAAAAAGTGTACTCAGTGGAAATTAAGGGGTATAAATGGGTACTGGCGAAAATGCCCAAAACATAAAAATAAAAATAA